TCCGGCATCTTGTGCTTACTCCTTGCGTACGGATGACAGCTGCGTATGACTTATTTACTTTCTGGTTCTTTCACTTGNACTCGACCACCATTATGGTTACCGCCAAAAAAAAAACGAAGGTAAAAAAATAAACGGTATCCTGGTCGCCGAGTTCACGAAGTGAATTGGCTTGTTTTACAACGTCGTTGCCAAGCGACGAAAACCCAATCCCGATGGCAAACACCGGGGGGGCGGCTTGTTTTACAACGTCGTTGCCAAGCGACGAAAACCCAATCCCGATGGCAAACACCGGGGGGGCGGCTTGTTTTACAACGTCGTTGCCAAGCGACGAAAACCCAATCCCGATGGCAAACACCGGGGGGGCGGCTTGTTTTACAACGTCGTTGCCAAGCGACGAAAACCCAATCCCGATGGCAAACACCGGGGGGGCGGCTTGTTTTACAACGTCGTTGCCAAGCGACGAAAACCCAATCCCGATGGCAAACACCGGGGGGGCGGCTTGTTTTACAACGTCGTTGCCAAGCGACGAAAACCCAATCCCGATGGCAAACACCGGGGGGGCGGCTTGTTTTACAACGTCGTTGCCAAGCGACGAAAACCCAATCCCGATGGCAAACACCGGGGGGGCGGCTTGTTTTACAACGTCGTTGCCAAGCGACGAAAACCCAATCCCGATGGCAAACACCGGGGGGGCGGCTTGTTTTACAACGTCGTTGCCAAGCGACGAAAACCCAATCCCGATGGCAAACACCGGGGGGGCGGCTTGTTTTACAACGTCGTTGCCAAGCGACGAAAACCCAATCCCGATGGCAAACACCGGGGGGGCGGCTTGTTTTACAACGTCGTTGCCAAGCGACGAAAACCCACCCCCGATGGCAATCACCGGACCGCCTTCGCGGAAAATTCGTATTTTAAGGAAATAGAACAGGGAGGGGATACGCAGGCTCTCTTCCCTAACCCTTACCCTAACCCAACTTCCCCGATTGTATTCTTTATCCAACATGGTTGTGTAATCGAAAAACCTGCGAATGCCACTGAGGCAATCGGGGGGAGGGGGCTTGAATAATGCAGCCCAGAACCACTTTTTAATAGTTGTTGCCGAGGGTGGGGGTGTAAGTCCCTCTTGTGGGCTACAAATGGCTGGTATATGGTAGGTTTTGTTGAGGGGTTCTTGACCCGGCTCACAATCGGTGCTCAAGTTCTTAGCTGCCAAGCTCTTCACTGCCAGGCTCTTAGCTTTCACGATCTTCACTGCCAAGTTCTTTACTGCCAAGTCCTGAAATGCCGATTTCTGAAGTGCCGAGTGCTTTACTGCCAAGTTCAAGTTCATAACTGCCAGTTTTTGACTGCGAGCGCTAGCTGTAGAAGAGTTGAAGGCGCGTGCTCTACACTGAAACGAGTCACGTTCTATGTCAAAGCAGGCCCTTACCACTGAGAGGTGGCCGAAACCCCGCAAGCAGGGGGTGGAGTGGGCGTCGTCGTATATGTGCGTGGAAGGAAGTGTTGAATAAATGAAGTAGGCCCGTGCACGGCCTGAACCTTGCGGGAGATGATGATGTTGTAGTACTTCGCATTCTCCGTGCTGGCCCAGAGCGTGCACACGACGTGAAGCCAAGGCTGGAAAGTGTTGGTTCTTTGGGCATGTGTGCAATCAATCCCCTGAGGACCCGTAGTACAGGGTTGTTGTGCCGGTGGTGGCGTGGAGCCGTGCGCTCAAGCTATGTCGTACCACGAGAGAGGCTTGGTGCTTCCGTCGCGCATGGACGCGCGCTCAAGCCTCAGAAGAGGTTTCCGTTCACACTCCGCACCTCCCGTGGATTATCCCTGGTCAGCTCCGCGCACTGCCCGCCGGGCCGACACACAGCACCGTCTTCCGTGATTCGTTTGCTCAAGCCTCAACAAAGAGCCAAGAGGTTTCCGTTCACACTCCGCACCCAGGTTAACTCAGCACGCTGCCTGCCCACCAGCCCAACCTCGGCCTTCCGTGATCCATCTTCACCGCAATTTGATCGCCGAAACGCAGGAGACGGCCCGAGCGTTCGAGACCCTGACGTCGCACGACCAGTGCTCCAAGTTTCGGAGTTGGCTCGACTCTAACAGGGAGGCGGTGGCGCAGCTGGACCACGACCTGCCCGATACGACGGGGACGTCCCCGCCTCCGCCCACCATACCCTCCACCCCCCGTTCCGCGGAGCCCCCCGCTCGAACACGCCGGGGGCCTCGCAGAAGCCAAAGTGGCGTCGTCGACGGTGGCGAAGAAGGAGCTGCTGGCCTGCACCAGCCCCCTGCTGCTGGTGGTGGCGGGGCAATGCGAGGTCACCAACCTTGGGGAGGGGGCGCCGTAGAGGGGGGCACCACGAATGTCACAGAGGGGGCGAGGGGGGGGCAGGCGGCATCTCCGCGGTTTCGGTTTCGGAGCCAGGCGGACGTGGGTGGGGGGGCGGGCAACGATAGCGGCGGAGCCCCCCTGGGAACCGGCGGTAGAGGGGCGGGAGGCGTTTCGTTTGCGCTGGACATGGACCAGTCGCCGTGAGGCGGCGAGAATCGGAAGGAGTCAAGAGCTCCCTCTGTGTGTTCGGTATTTGCACCCGCTATCCTAGCTGCTTGCCCTGCGCCAATGTTGGCGTATGGTACGTACATAGAGAAGCTTCACGTTTTTTGGGGAGGTCATGCCTCCGGGTGCGGCTGTTGGCGACGTTTCGATGGCTGTGTTTTTGTTGTTCTCCTCGGTGCCGCAGCATGGGTAGTGGAACCACGGTGTGGCCTATCGTGGAGCTCCCCGCAGTTGAATGGTAATTTTCGCGGTTTCGGCCAACCCTCCTCGTTAAGAAGTACAACGCCTTCCTGATTGCCGAGGACGTATGTAGGGTCGGTGTGTCCTCAAACAGCCACCATCCTTGCCAACACCCGGGGCTAAGCAAGACTTTCGCTAAAAACGACGACCAAATGGATCCCCCCTCGCCGCCTTCGCCCGGAGTGGAGAAACGGTGCGCTTGGAACTTTTGCGCTGGATCCTTTTGTGTGAAATTGTGTGGGTCGCAGCCACCCACATCGCCCACACCCGGAACCGAGCAAGACTTCGTTAATTTTGCTTAAAACGGACGCAGAAACGGCTCTCCCGCTGCCGCCTTCTCCCAGAGCCGAGAAACCGTGTGCTTCGGACGTTTTCGCTTGATTTTTTTGTTTTTTGTCGGTTGGTTGTGTGGGGGCGACAACTGAACCTCGACTCTCGCAGAAAGGAACGGAACTGTCCTAGATCGGGCCGCGCTTTGGCGTCGGAGTGCCTGATCGCCACGCGGCACGGGAGGCTGGTGGGTGTATAGGGCGGGATTATTCTGAGCCACCCGCAAGCTGTCGCTTGCTGGAATAACGTTTCCGGTTGTGGAGCCCGCAGTTTGGGGTCATGGTGAGGGACTTCCAATCGTTGCGTCGCGTGATTGCGGATGTTTCCGGCTGTGAAGCGGAAATTTGGAGTGGTGGTGACGGATTTCCATCCTCTTCGTGGCGTGATTGCGGATATTCCGTTTGTGAACCGACAATTTGACGTGGTTGTGAGGGAGTTCCAAGCGTTGCATCGCGTGATTGCGGATATTGTCGTTTGTGAACCAACGATATGAGGTGGTATTGAGGGAGTTTGTAGCGTTGCACGGGGTGATTGCGGATATTTTCCGGTTGTGAACCGACGATATGAGGTGGTATGGAGGGAGTTTGAAGCATTGCACGGGGTGATTGCGGATATTTTCCGGTTGTGAACCGACAATTGGAGGTGGTGTTGGAGGAGTTTCAAGCTGCGTGGTGTGATTGCAGATATCAAGGTTGTTTGGTGAAGGTAGGTTCGTTACACTGTAGGGCAGGGGGCGGGGCGGGGCAGAAGACGATAGCCGGGTCATAACAGAACTCTAGAAAACCTCTGCGTGCTGTGATCCGTCTTACGCGGTAGCGAAAACTTCCCATGTTGCCGGTCCTTTCTTGGAGTTTAGAAGTATAACTTTGGAGGACGATTCCTCCCGCGAGAAAGTTGGCAACACCAAGCGAGGTATATCCCTGCCCTCCTCTGGACGTTTCGGAGCGGGACTGGCTTGTGCAAGGTCGTCCTCTCCCTGTGGCATGTTCGCCTTTGTTTCCGAAGACGTGCTTGTGCGTGAAGGCGTGCACAGGTTCAAGGTACTCTCTCGTGGTCGGTGGCTTGTTCACTTTCTTTTTTTGAAGGCGTGCTTGTGCGTAGTATAAGCTCCTGCAGCCACACATCCTGTCGTTTTTTATCTTCTAGCTTGTTGCGTTTGGTGTGGCTGGTCCCGATTCCGGCGCCGCTGGCGCCGAGAGAGAGCGAGAGAGCGAGAGCGAGGGAGAGAGAGAGAGAGAGAGGTGACGGAATGTGACATGTTGACATGTTTCTCGTGAACAGACGGCAGTACTCGGGTTCATGCTCCGCAGATTACTGTTGCATCGTTGGGGATCTGTGGAGGTATCATTACAACCACAGGTGTGGTGTTGTCCGGATGGTTTCTTGTTTCTAGTTGTGTGAGTGCGCTTCGTTTCCGTTCCTTGTTGTCAGTAAGCAAGTACAGGGGCGTTCGCGTGAATAAACACCGAGGTTGCTCATGTTTTTTGTGTATAAAGTTGTTAAGAGTAATTGACGGCGCTAACGGGCGAACTTAACCAGAAATGTTGACAGAGCGGGTTGGTCTCGGTGAGCCGCAAAATATACCCGCGCGTCCAAAGGGGATTTACCCTTCCTTCCATGTCGATGGCGTGGTCCCAAATGGACAGACATGCACGCAAAATTCCGTGGTCTGTAGACACGCATGCAGTACCGACGCGAGGGGAAGGAAGAAACCCCAGACGTTCACCGTAGCCGCGCAAGAACAGCCAAACCTTTTCACATCTACATGAACCTGAACGGGATGGAAACTAAAGGGCCCAGGCACACGCACGTGTGCAGCAGATCTCCCCAGTCAATCGTCTAAAATTCAACAAAAGTAGCAAAACATGAGTAGTACGTCCCCCCCTAGTTCCAGCAGGACACTACAAGAGACTTGGAGTGCCCTCGGAGAATGATCCTTTTGACCAAGTGTTTAAGAAGGAGGTGGACGCATGGGCCCAGAAAGAAGGAGAGACATCGAAGGCAGACGTTGGGAACGTAGAACTAGAAAAGGAGTTCACTGAGGACGAGGTTAAGGAGTGTGTGAACAAGCTGGAGTGCCACAAAGCAGCAGGAGCGGATGGGATAGTCAACGAGTTCATGAAGTTTGGGGGGAAGGGGATGATCCAGCTGATGGTACTGCTATACAATTGGGTGTGGAAAAGCGAGTATACGCCAAGTAGATGGAGGGAAGGAGTGGTT